AAAAAAAAAGGCGAGGAGAGAGACAGAGACAGAGAAGGGAGGGACAAGAGAGAGAATAGAGAGAGAGAGAAGAGCCGAGAGACAAGAAGAGAGATAAGAGAGAGAGAGAACGGAGGAGAAAGAGAGAGACGAGGAAGAGAGGAGAGGAGAGGAGAGGGAGAGGCGAAGAGAGAGAGAGAGAGAGAGAGACCCGACGAGAGAAGAGAGAGAGAGAGAGAGAAAGCGAGAGGAGCGAAGGAGAGAGAGAGAGCAGAGAGAGAGAAGAGAGAGAGAGGCGCAGGGAGAAGCGGCGGGCAGCAACGCGAGACCGAGGACGGAGAGGAGAGCGGAGGGGAGCGAGGGGCAGAGGCGATAAGAGGGAGATGAAGGGCGAAGAAGAAGAGAGGGCAAGGGGTCCGCGGAAGAACTGACAGTACAGTAACCGGAGAAAGAGATGGGGAGAAAGGGAGAAGGAGAGCAAGAGAAGACAGAAAGGAGAAGGAGACAGAAGAGCGATGTAAGAGGAGAGGAGGGCAGAGAAAGAAGGACGCGAAGAATGAGATAAGAGAGAGGAAGAAAGAGAGAGATGGATCACAAGTGGCGAGAGTGAGAGTGCACAGTGACAGACGAGAGAAGAGCAGAGAGAGGCAAGAGAGAAGAGAGAGAGCAGAGAAAGAGTGTGTTGGGGAGGGAGCTCGTTTAGCATGCATGTACCGAACTTACTTACCAATTAACAATATATATATATATATAATATATATATATACTCTATAGTATATAATAGTAAAATATGCCGGAGGCAACGACCGATATTCGGCGCGGACGGTCAATACCTTTTCAGGACTGTTTAATTACGCAACAGGCTGTTTGTCCTTCTCTCACCTCCCCCTCACTCTCTCTCTCCCCTCTTCCTCTCCTCTCCTCTCTCTCCTGCTCCTCTCTCCTTCCCCCTCCTTCTCCTCAAATACCTCTTCCGTTTTCTCTCTCGCTCTTCTTCCTCTCACTGCCCTTTCCCCTCCCTCGCCCTCTCTCGCCTTTACTCTCCCCTCTCACCCCTTCCCTCTCCCTCTTCCTTCCTCTCCCTCATACTTCTCCCCTCCTCCCTCTCCCTTTCCTCCCCTCCGTCTCCATCACTCGTCCTACACGAGCAAATTCTGTCTCGGTTAAGCGTGACATTGTCACTTAAACGCTTGACCATGCTCACTTTAACGTTGGCATCTCCGATGTGACGGCATGCTGTAACGGACCAGAGGCCTCACTCTTCGCGGACTAGCACTCTCTCCTCAGTCTCCCCATCCCGTGCGTGATCGAGCTCTGCGAATTTGCTAATACACGACGGCAGTGCGTCGCGCTCCGATCGAAACGGGTGAAATGGAGATGCGTGGCAGCTGCGTGCTGTGTCACGGGGGCATCTGCGTGCCGTGTTCGTTATGTGCTTCGTCGTGTCGTGGCTGCTCGCTTGCTGTGCTCGGTGGTCATGCTGGCTGCTGTCGGCCTGGGATGCCTCCGCGTCCGAGTGCTCGTGCGATCTGGTTCGTGTGTCCGGTGATGCTGCGTGCTGTTTCGGTTGGATCGCGCTGCTGTGTCGTGGGGATGCTGCGTCCTGTGTCCTTGGATCTGCGTCGTGTGTCGTGGATCTGCGTCGTGTGTCGGTGGGATGCTTCGTTGTCGTGTTCGCGTGATGCTGCGTGCGTGTGTCGGTGGTGATCTGCGTGCGGTCCGTGGATGCTGCGCTGCCGTGTGTCGGTGCTGGCTGCGGTGCAGTGTTCGTGGATCTGCATGCGGGGTGTGCGGGTGGAGAATGCTCGGGCCGTGCGTGTGTCGGTGTCAGATCTTGGCTTGGCCGTGTGTCGGCGGGATTGCTTGCGTGCTTTGCTCGGTGGGGATGCCTGCCTGCGTGTGTCCGTGGAGCCTGCGTGCCGTGGTCGTGGGATGCGCGTGCGTGTGTTCGGATGGGATCTGCGGCGTGTGTCGTGGATCGCACGCGCGTGTGGTCAGCGTGAGATGCTGCTGTGCGGTGTGCTGTCGCTGGGAGTGTACGCCCGCTGGCTTGGTGTTCGTGACCCGCGTGCGTCGTGTTCGGTGGGCGATGTTGCTGTTGCGTGGTCGTCGGGATGCCGCGCTGCGTGGTTCCGGCGGGATGTGCTGTGGGCGGTCGCGTGGTGTCTGGATGCTGCAGATGACTGTTCGTCGGGGATGCCTGTCGTAGGTGATCGTCGAGGTGGCCAGTGCGCGTGCTGTGGTCGGTGGGATGCTCGTGCGTGCGCGGTGTGTCGTGGATTGCGGCGCTCTTTTATCGGGTGGATGCTTGCGTGCGGTGTGTCCGTGCGGGTATCGCAGTAGCGGTGTCGGTGATGCTGCTCGTGTATCGGTGGAGGATGCTGCCGTGCTGGTGTCCGTGGAACCCTCTGCCCGCCTCCACACAACCACACCCCCACGCCGGATTAGCGTGCTCCGCTGGGAGCTGCCTGCGTGTGCTTCGTGTCTGGTGTGAATGCGGGCGCGTCGTGGTGTCGTGGAATGCTTGCACTCGTTTGGTGTTCGGCTGCGGATTGGTGTGCTGTGTCGGCTGTGGGTATGGCTCTGCGTGCTGTCGGTGTCCGGTGGGCGATGATCGCGTGGCTGGCTCGGTGGTCGATGCTGGCCGTGCGTTGTGACTCGTGGATGCTGCGTGCGTTGTCGGTGGGGACGCTCTGCATTGCGTCGGCAGTGGGATGCTGGCGTGCTGTGGGTGCGGTATGGGAATTGCTGGCGTGTCTTGTTCGGTGGGCATGCTGCGTGCGTGGTCGGGCCGATCGCGAGCGTGTTCGGGGGACTTGCTGGACGGTGCGTACCTCGGTATGTCGCGAATGGGACTATGGCGTGCGTGTGCGTGGTATTGCTACGCTGGTTGGTCGGCGCGATTGCTGTGTGCGTGTGTCGATGGGATGCCGCGTGCGGTCTGTCGTGGGTATCTGCGTGCTTGCGTGGTTCGGTGGGTAGTGGTGTCGTGTTACCGGGCATTGTCTTGCGTGCATGTGTCCGTGGGTATGCTGCGATGGTTGTTCGGGTCATGCCTTGCGTCGTTGATCGTGGCATGGCTGCGGTGGCGAATGTGGTCGGCGATGGACGAGATGCTTCAGAGGCTGGACGTGTTGTCGGTGAATGCATCGCGTGCGGCGCTGGCTTGCGGGCGTGGGCATCCGTGCGTGCGTCGTCGTCGGTGGGCCAAAGTGCTTGGTAGCCTGTTCGGGGGATGCGTACGTGTGCCGCTCGCCGATGCTGTCTGGTGGCATGGTAGTTGTAGCGGAGTTGTTGTGGGAAATCGTTTGGCGTTGTGTGTCCGGTGGGATATGCGTGTCGAACTGTGGTGGGTCCGCCCCGGTTGTTTTTTTCGGAGGGATCAGTCCTGCGGTGCGTGATTCGGTGGCGATGTTAGGCTGCGTGTGTTCGTGGGGAGGTATGTGTCTGCTGTGTTCGTGATTGTGTAGCGATCAACGCACACTGTCGCTGGCCATCTTCTCTCTTTCTCTCTCGGCGCAACGCCTGATAGATCTATCATCGTCCTCGGAGAGGCGCACTTCTGTCTCTCCGGTCGGCTCTTCTTGCTCTCCTCTTTCTTCTTTGTTTCTCTTTCTCTCTCGTCTCCTCTCTTAGTTTACTCGCCTCGGCGTATGATACGTTGTCTTTCTGTCCGTCCGGTCTTCCTCCCCTCCTTTTCTCATCCCCTTCTCCCTCTCCCCCTTTCTCTCGTACTTGTTAACCCGGTATCGGTGACCATATGCCATTGATGATTTCAACATTTCGCAACCGCTGCTGCGTGGAAGACGCCGCACCGCTAAATATACTCGCCGCGTGATGGGACTGCAAGCGCGATTGCAGAGAGAGAGAGAGAGCGAGGTGTGGGAGCGCGGGAGGGGAGAGGGAGGATGAGATGGGCGATGAGGAAGAGAAGGGAGGAGAGGAGAGAGAGAACAGGAAGGTGAGGTCAGCTTATTCAAGGAGAGAAGGGGCGAAGCGCGAGAGAGAGACACTAGAACGAGCGCGCGCGAAATAGACGAGGGAGGGAAAGAACGATAGAGTGAGACAGACGCGGGAGGCAGAGGACGGAGAGGAAAGGAAAGCGAATACAGAGAAAAAAAGAGTGAAGAGACAGATAGAGGTAAATGCTTGCTGCTTGCCCGGGCAGCTAGTCACTTTCCCATGATGCGAAGCTGGACGAATGCAGTAGAGAGAGAGGGAGCAGCGGACGGGAGGAGGAAGAAGGAAGAGACAAGAGAAAGAGAGAGAGAGCGAGGCGAAGAGAGAGAGAGAAGAGAGAGAGAGCGGAGAAATGAGGAGATGAGAGAGAGAGAGAGAGAGAGCGAAAGAGAACAGAGAGAAAAAAGAGCGAAGAGAGAGAAGCGAGAGAGAGTAGAAGAGAGACGACGCGAGAGGAGAAGCGCGAAGGAGCGAAGCGACGAAGAGAGAGAAGAGAGCAGAGAGCGAAGAGAGAGAGAGAGAGCAGAGAGACCGAGAGAGAGAGAGAGAGAGCAAGAGTAGAAACACAGAGAAGATAAGACGAGACGAGAACTGCCGAAGCGTGACGCTAAGTGAAAGAGGGACAGAAGCCGGAGAGCACGAGAGAACCAGAGAGAGAGAGAAGAAAGAGAAGAGAGAGAGAAGAGACGGAGAGAGAGAGAGCGAGAGAGAGAGAGAAGAGAGAGAGAGAGAGAGTAGAAGAGCAGAAGATTTGACAGAGAGAGAGGAAAGAGAGACATACGAGCCAGAAAGAGAGAGAGAGAGAGAGGAGAGTACGNGAGAGAGAGAGAGAGAAAGAGAGAGAGACTTTGTTTTAATATCATTTTAGCAGTTAGCGATATATCACACATATACACTTTTATTATCCTTTCATTTTATTGTTCAGTCGTTGCAATATTGATGTGCTACGCTTTTGATCATTTTATGTAAAAATGCGCATTATAAATAAATAAAACATAAATAAAAAAAATAATAATATCTGCATCTTTAGTGACACAGTATTTCTTGGCTTCGTGTTGCAGGTATGAGACCGCTGCACTATGCCGCCTGGCAGGGCTGGCTGGAACCCGTGAGAGCGCTGTTAGAGCTAGGAGCGTCAGGCAACGAGGCAGCGCTGGATGGGAACATACCCCTACATCTAGCCTGCCAACACGGACACCATAACGTGGTATGTATGTATGTGTGTGTGGTGGCAGGGGCGTGTGTGTGTGTGTGTGTGTGTGTGTGTGCGTGTGTGTGTGTGCGCGTGCGTGTGTGCGTACGTACGTGCGTGCGTGGGTGCGTGCGTGCGTGTGCCTCTGTCTTTCTATCCCTTGATCTCTCTCCTCGTTTCTCTACCTTTCTCGGGCTCTCTCTTTTCCTTTCTCTTTCTTTCTTTCTTTCTGATCTCTCTCTCTCTCATTCTCAACTTTCTCTGCTCTCTCTCTCTCTCTCTCTCA